CTTATAGCTTGGTCTATTCAAATGCTGCAAACTGCGTACGCTACCTTCGAGAACTCAACAGAGCTCTAGCATTAAGACGAGGCCCTCTTTTGTTGCCATAGAATCTGTCCTTCTTAGCGTAGTTTTATCCGGCTGAAGTCTAGACTATGCTTTAATGTGCCATTGAGAGACGCCGTCTGGAATCTGGGATTACTGAGGCTGGCTTTATAATTAGTTTTCATGCACATACGTAGTTTACAGGGATATGAATGGGCGAAAATAATGAGTGTTGGCGAAGTGAAAGGCTTGGCTGGAGTGAGTTTTAGGTTCAATATTCACGGCGCCAATTTGGCGTTAAGAAAATTGTTTGGCTACTACGAACAGCTATACATATCAACATTGTTTAACTAATTGGCAATATTTATGAAGTTCATTTATAATACACATGATTCAGGAGTATTATAATTGTGGTAATTTTTTAAAACGACCATATCAAATTTTAAAGCGTCTCCTAAACTCACTCTATCTATCGCACTTAATTTTATGAACGCAAAAGTTTCTATGTAACTGTGTTTTCCTACATTACATTCCCGTTCGATTCAGAAATTAAATACTTGCTATGTGTATGCTATATAAGTGGACATTAAGATTTTTATTTCGTAAAAATTAATTATTTAATTTCGAAATGAATCATACTTTATACAGGCACTTTTTATTGCCTAGATAAAAAGTCAAAAGGAGGAATCGCTTAATCGGAATACGTCTTCTCGTTTGCTAACTTTCCCAACGATAGATCCCAGTACCGTTTTCCGTAATGATGGCAAGAACCCGACGGCTTGTCTTGTTGTCTTTGGGAGAGAGGCAAAGCCCTGGACGCTACTCGCGTCGACACCACGGTGGTCTTTCATCTAAGGGGTACTTCGGTCGGGGCCGAGCCGAAAATTTGTATTTGTGCCATTTCACTACATAGTTTGAAACAAAGTCGTCCCGCTGTCTGTCTGTCCCTATGTGTGCTTAGATCTTTAAAACTACTCAACGGATCGTAATGCGGTGTTTTTTACTAGGTAGAGTAATTCATGAGGAAGGTTTATATGTATAATACATTGCACCCGTGCGAAGTCGGGGTGGGTCGCTAGTACTGTATAAACGAGAGGTGAAACGTCCATGGTGACCCCGTGTAACAAGATTTTCGAACAAATTATCTTGTCGACTAATTGTTCATGGTGATGAAAATTGAAAGCTCAAGTATTACTATTCAGCAAGAAAATACTGCTTCCGTTCTTGGCACTATGCCACAGCCTGGATTTGTTAAATAACGAGTAATTCAGTTTGTATATAATATTGTGAATATGTTTGTTCAGTTACGAAATATGTTAATTGGCGCATCGAAAGTTTGTTCCGTCAAAACGAGCAACTTGCTGCTCCACTTTGTAAACACTTTGTAGACACAATCTTACGCACATACTTTGGGTCTACGAACGAGCTTATATTTGGACCGTTTCCACTCGTGCTTTATCACATAGCACCTCAAGCAGCTTCTTCATAATGGTCTGCGCTAAGTTGTTGTGTGCGTCGTCGACTTCGAGATATGTTGAGGCTTAACGAGCTCCCAGTCCGCCAGTTGCCTTTTGTTCTCGCACTGTCTGAGGCGAGTTGAGGTTTTATCCGCTAGCTACGCCAGGGTTGGACAAACTCTCTCGCAATGAAAAAACACTTCGCGAAACTGGTAATAATCAAGTACTTAGCTCTACTTATAAGAAAAGAAAATTCAAGAAGAGTGAATATTGAGGCACATTTTCATGTAGCTAACATTTCAAATATAAATTTAATTAAGACAACCCGATTGGCTTAGTGGATGGTGTACCTGTCTTTTGCGCCAGAGGGTGTGAGTTTGGTCCCCACTTCTGGATAAATATTGTGTGATGAGCATTGTGTTTTTCTAGGTCTGACTGTTTATGTATCTACAATTTATAGGTACTAATTTACAATAGAAAAGTATGTTTAAGTGTGTTTATCAGTTACAACCTTTGCTTAGTTTTTGAGAATAGATAAATTTGTGTAAAAATATGTTTTGAAAATCTTTTTTGCCTTAATTTATACTGTACGTATGTGAGCTTAATCACTTGAATACAATCAGTCAGTGGGAAAGCCGACTTTTTCTCTAAGTGTTGTTGAAGTAGACAACAAATACTTGTAACGTCCATCACATTACATGGTTCACAGAACTTGTACGTGTTATAGTAACGCGATTTTTAGGATACATGAGTAACTGGGCTCAGCCGCAAAATTCCCGCGATCCGTTTTAGAGTAAAACATGAGTATTTATACCTTTGCATTTATTAAGGGACCAGGTATTATTTATTAAGACAACCACGGTCAATCCTTATAACTTGGGCAACTTTTTTATGTGAGAAGGTGACAAACGAGCTGGTGGGTCACCTGATGTTACGTGATAACCGCCGCCCATGGACATTTGCAACACTGCGTTGCCACTTTTTAATAAAGTGGACAACGATTACCTCACTCACCAGACTAAACGCAGTAGTTTAACGCTTCCACTCCACGGAGCAAGATCCTGAGACACCTGCATCCATCGAATTCCTGCACACTTGCATAGGTCGTCACTCGATCTAGTTTAGAATTAAGATCATTAAAAGCTAGCCAGTAGCTCTGATCTTGAGTCATAGAACAATGCATTACCACCATTAAAACTTATTCCAAAAGCGTTGGATACTGCGTACGCTTTTAACAAGCTTTCACCTAGTTGCGGGGGCATTAGCCGTGGCTCGGACTTTGCGCTGGACGGCTAATTATTTTCAAACAGCCCCCTTTGTGGAACAGCACGGAGCGCCGGGGGGTGGCTTTCCTCAGAGGGACGCCATTGCGGCCATTTTGTTTTAATACGGCGCGGTCGCGTTAATTAATCCACCGTCACTATTACGTGGATGCTCAGTGTGGTGTAGCGGGTGCAATGTAGGTCTTGCGAATTGAGGCCTCGGGTTTGAATCGGAGTGGTGTGCCAATGCTCAAGTCTCGTGATTTCGCGGTGAGAGGTAGATTATGTTTTTGAAGAGTTAAAGTCAACATCATTATAACCCCCAAGCTTGTGTGTGCTTACCACTTCAAGTCGCTTCGGCTGCACAGGTTGGATCGATAGAAATTATTATATGAAAGGAGTTTGTGGCTTCGACTTCCTCCGCGTGTATTTCGGAATGTATTTTACATGAAAATATTTACATCACGCTTTTTTGAGTTATAGTTAAGGCCAATGATATTATAAATAAATATAGATATGACACTAGCGCAGCGAAACTGAGGCAATTAAATTACGCCAATTGGTGTAATTTATTAGACTGCTATCTCTTTCCGTATCTTACTTTCTATACCATCAGTCACATTCACTTATACAGCGTGGCGTTACAACCGCGACAATAAATGAATATACGTCTAACGCTACTTGCCAATAATCATAAAAAATAGTTATAAAAATCTATAATTAAAAAAAGATATTTTTCAAAAAAACTAATTAATCGCATCACAAGTTTCTATTTCTAACAGTATGTTTTATCTCATTTAAATTCATTCTAGTGTTCTAAAATTGTTTGTTTTGGAAAATTTTATAACTCGGTAAATATTCTTGTTCAAAGAATGTAAATATTTAATACAATTTTAAAAAGTTATCCTTTATATGTGTGTTGATATGTGGTCGGGTTAGTAGCGCCACGTTGTATATGTCATATAATGTAAAGCGGAACAATTTCTAAATGCCGCTCAGTGTGGACATCCGTCATCTATATTATTAAACATCATTGGTTAAGGCATTATAATTATGGCTTTTATTGACTTAAATTCAAAAATAATAAATTTGTATCCCTATATTACCTTCACTTCGACCGCTGTTGTTTTTTAAGCCATTATGGGGATGGAATCTTCAATATTCATTTGCAAAGATACATTTACAGTAGTTCGAATCTCATATTGTATATTTTACTGTATATCCACGTAACAGATGGGATGTATCACGGGTTTTGGAGCTTACTGAGCATCTGGAGGACCGAGCTTTGCTCGTTTTTTTTTTTGTTGGTAAATCTTGTATTTTGGTAATTACATTTAGATACAAATTACTGAGGAATGAAATATGCATAACATTTTTCGATCTTACCGACGGAATAATAAGAAAACATGAACTGGTGTTTTTCACAAAAGAAAGAACTTAAAAAAAAGGGAAAAAAACAACAAAATAACAAATCGACAAAAAATAAAAAAATTAAGAAAGAAATGATTTGGCATCAAAAAAAAGTAAAAAAAATGAGTGTGTAAATGATCGTGACACGAACGACGGCCTTCTGTTTCGGGGCCGCCCGATTACCGACCGAGCTATTATAAAATTGTTTTTATGGTGAAATTTACCGTCATATTCGAATGATATTTTTCATTCCCTGAAAACAGGGACAAAAGGACATTTTCTAAAAATGAAACCTAGCCAGATCGATTTTTCGCCCCCGAATCTACGCACATAATAAATTTCATAATAATTGCTGGAGCCGTTTCCGAGATTCTGATTATATATATATATATATATATATATATATATATATATATGTATCCGTTCTTTGTAAGGCGTTTTCAATAAAGAATAAATAAATAAATAAATAAATGTAAGACGTGGAAGTGCAGCACCACGTTCCACGTGCATCCCCTACCAAGGGTCGTCATATCTCAATTAATGAACCGAATGGATTAATTAAATAATTAATTAAGATTTCGGGACATATTTTTACACAACGTTATCTAGTCTCAAACTAAGCAAAGCTTGTATATGGGCAATAGCTGATAAACATGCTTAAACGTACTTTTCTTTTTTGTAAACAAATACATATTAAAGATCCACCCAGACACTTTATTTTTCCAGTAGTGCGGCTCGAACCCACACCCTTTGGCGCAAGAGGCAGGGTCACTACCCGCCACGCCGATCGGGTCGTCAATATTGTATATCGCATCCAGTTACCCGTTGACAAGCGATGACAACGGCGCGAGATAACTTAATTGCGTCACGCGCAGACACTAACGACGCCCATCCGGGTATCCGGGTATGCAGTCCGGGCGAGTACACACCGCAAAACGTCCCTTGGACGTTGTACGGTGTGTACTACGCTTTGCGGGAGTCGCTGCCAGTCAACGGGTAAAGGCGCGTCCACAGTGTAGCAAGGAATCGTGTTATATATTTTTATTCCTTTTATTTAAATACATTGCACTTTAGGATAACAATATCCTGTGTTGTAAAGACGTGTTGCAAACATAAATTTCAGAAACAGCCGTCTGTGGGTCACACAAATAGTTGTCCCGTGTGTGTGCCTTTTAAATTTCATCATTGATATTTTATTACTAGAAGTAATAGAAAATTTTTAATAAATTTTTTGCTTAAACATTTGCCAGTTTATAAACTATCGCGCAAACTCCTACGTGATATATCTAATGGATATAATTAATATCTCTTATGATGCCTCGGTTCAATCCAAGTAAATATACTAAAAAAACGAAAACTGGAACACCACCAACGAAAGATAAAGGGACAGGTCATATATTTAAGTCGCTACAATTGAATTACGGATAATGCGAAGGTTCCTTAGGCCTTCAGCGTCCTAGCCTTCACAGATTCTCCTTGACAAACCTAAAGAGTGAACAGGCTTATTGATATTTTTTCGCTGTATTAGGATAGTCGGTTCTTAAGAGCCTTACTAGAGCCAATCTGTGGTTGCGCGGCTCTCAATCAGGTGGGATAGTGGGGAAAACAGGTTTTCCGATGAAAATCACCGCATAAACTCCCAACAACTAGGCACCGGCAATGGGGAACAGCCTTAAGGTGGTGCGGCGCATGCGTAAACCACCCTAAGCGGAGCGCGATGGCCGCTCAGTTCGCGTATCGACGCCGCGCCGCCCGTCGCCTGTCGCTCGTGCCGCGGGTACCAGCCGAAGCTTACGAGACCAACCGCCTAAGGCTGAACCGGTGATTGTGTTGTGTGAAAAGTGGCAGCGGACGCGCCCAGCCGAGGGGAGACGAGCCGGTCGGAACCGGTTTGAACCGGACGCCGCCGCTTCGAACCGGCCGTAAGTAGCCCAAACCGTACCAGTCCACAGAGCGCTTAAAAGGCTCGATTGGGAAACTCGCCGTAGACACGTAAGTGCAAGGCACGCTGTATAGCCCGGCCCTAGAAACTTTGTTGATGTTTGTACAATATATCGATTTTTAGGAAACTTGTAAGGTTTTCTCGTTCCCCCGACGGCACCACGAGGGTGGCGTTCCCCCGGCTGATGTTATTTCGTTAATATTTGGTTGATTTTGTAACAACGGGTATGGTGTAAAAATAAAGTGTAAATGAAATTTTAATGTAAGTATCGAAATTTAAAAAAGTGTAATTGATGGAGCACCATGGAATATTTTAATTCAAATTAAATTTCAAATTCATCCGAATAATTTGAATTAATAGATCTGTTTAAGCTTTTCGTGTTCTACCATCCTCCCTCTGTTCTTAACTGATAGTACATTAACCACATCTGTTGCCTTTATTTTGTGGTTTACGAACATAATAGGTTCTATGGTTTCGTAACTTGTATTCTATTACCGCAGTATCCTGTATGTGGCACAGTGTGGTTAAGGTACCAGTGCTTTAATGATAATTCTCTTTCTCTCTCTCTCTCTAAATAGACAAGTATGAATATCATTTCCAATGATTTCAAGCATATTTTCAATAATAGAATTGAAAACCATTTGTCGATTATAATCGCCTTTAGGTCAATCATGTCATAACCTTGTCTTCGTCAATTTATTTTACGGTTTTAGAGTCCCACAGCACATTTTACTGTTAATTAAGGACTGGCTCGAGCGGGGCAGTACCACAGAACTCTAGCGAAATATCGATATATTATCCGTCGTCTGGTAAGTGAGCTCGACCTCCTTAGATTAAAACGTATCTAGCCATATTGATGTAGATGATGTAGATATGAGATACCCCTGGATGGCAGTAATCACCAAACGTTACGCATAAAAAAATCCACAGCAAGAATTATCATCAATGAAAACGTGAAAGTGCAATCGCTTTCTTATTATTATCCTATACTATACAATAAAATAAAAATTATAAAATAAAATATTGTAATATTCTCAATTTGCTATACATACTTGAGAACATCATATATGTATGTAATAACATACAACTTTTTACAAAAAAACATACCACAATGCGTCGGGGCCATGGTGACACGCTGGAAATACAGAGGTTTAGACTAGCTAGAACCAGGAAATCGTTTCTTGGTAGATGTATTAACTTATATAATAGAATAGGTGACATCCACAAACAAGTGTAAATAATTTCAAACATTTTGTAAAAGTCACCTTATAACATATTTAAATACATTTTTCGTATTTAAATAAATTCTTATTTTAAATACATACACATAGGCAGAAAAAAAACATTATGTTTACTATTTTGTCCAAGGATAGAACCCACACTCTCAGGCGCAAATTTACTATTGATCGATATGTCTCTCACAGATCTGAAACAATTACAAAAGCTATGTTGAAAGTTCTCAAAATTACAGGAGTAAAATTAAATACAACAAACAAATTTTGGTTAGACTTATAGAATAAGGGTTTCGTGGATTCCCTATGGTGATGAGGTGAAGAGATAAAAACTACGCTAATAATGAAACATTTATTATGTTTATTAATACATTAAAAAATGTGACATTGAGCCTTCTTGACAAAGTGTAAGGGTCTTCAGACTACAATATCAAATTATAAAGTAACTAGCTGACTCGGCAAACGTTGTTTTGCCATATAAATTATTTCTAGAGGAATCGGAACGCACGCATAAAGTGCTTGACAGGATACAAAGACATAGTTGACAGGTAAATAAAGAAAAATATTAATTGATCTATTGATAAAAATTAAATAAAAATTGATCTATTTCGATTTTCCATAATTTCTCATCGTTTAAACCTTCCCTGGATTGTCACAAATCTTTCAAAACAAAAATTAGCCAAATCGGTCCAGCCGTTCTCGAGTTTTAGCGAGACTAACGAACAGCAATCCATTTATATATATAAGAAGTCGCCACAGACTGAAATTAATAAAGCCTAAGACTAACTAATAATGTAAGCCATGTGAAGAATTCGAAATGAGTCAAAAACTGTATAGTACATATAAAAAATAATTTTGGTTAAATAATAAATTATTTAGAAATAACGATGTTTCGAACACCTTACTGTGTATGGTCCAAAGGCACTGCTCAGGCAGGTAGTTTGTTTTATATTGTGCTTTTTTTTAAAAAAAGTAAATATTCCACTGCTGGCAAAGGCATAGTCCACTACACGACTCCACTACGGATTGGCGGACTTCACACATCTTTGAAATATTGTCTTTGTTATTCCGAAAATATGCAGGTTTCCTCATGATGTTTTCCTTCATTGCTGAGCACGTAATAAGCCAGCACATAAAGTGACCAATTTGATTGAGGCCGGCACCGGGGATCGAACTCAGGTTGCCCGAGTAAATTGAATTAAAAGCGAGCGTCGGGATACCATAGCTATCACGTCTCAAAACGGCCTTCTTGAATTAAAATAAAAGGCGATAAAATATGTAAATAGATGTAACCATGTCTTAGTATTCGCGTAAATACAATCGCATTAGTAATAGTATCGTACGTTATTATTCATACAAACTTATGTAAATGGGCTGGGATTAATTTGGAAGTATATACAAGCGCTGTATCTTTTGAACGTCTACGCAGCAGACATTAAACAATATACAAAAGACGTCGGCGTAGTACAAATAGGTCACGAGGGCTCTACCACATCATTGAAGATCATACTTCATGTAGCACAGTTATAATTGGTCTCAGTTGGAATGTTTCCAAGTGAGGAACTGGAAAATTGACCCATTATCTACGAACGCACGTGATCAAGCTAGCTACGATAAGAGAGTTCGTTAATTACTCGCTAGTAATTTGGCAACGGTTGCCTCTTTCGTATTCAAACTGGTGCAGGTTTAATTAAATGTTATCAAACAAAAATAACTGTTAATATAATTAATTTTTAAACGGATATTGGAAACAATTTATTATTAAAGCAAAAGATACTTTTTGTCATTACTTTCACTCGCTACTAGATAATTAAAGGTGATCTATTAGAATCGACGAAGTGTATAATATAAAATCAACCCCCGAGAGGATTATATTGTTTAAGGGGTTGTAAAACTGGGGGGAAAAGGTCTTTCACTTTCATTCGCTGTAGTTGTATATAGTATTATTTGTTTATCACATTCGAGCTAATAAGTGTAAATTACTTTTTAACCGACTTCAAAAGGAGGAGGTTCCCAATTAGACTTAATTTTTTTTTATTTTGTTACCTCAGAACTTTTGTCTTTGTCCGATTTTGATGATTCTTATTTTTTTGAAAGTTGGTGATTCCCATGTGGTCCCATATTAATTCCCTTGGTATTAGATCTTGGGCTCCGGAGGAAGATATTTGAAGTAAGTTTTGTTTTTCGTTAGTAAAAAAAATGGTTATTATAGTTGCACTATCAATGGTTTTTGTACCTTTATGTTCTGTATTAACATTTCCACCCACCGTCACGATCTAGTGCATGATAACAAAAATTAAACTAGTACTGTACATTAATAAATTGAACTATTCATTCGTCCCGTCCTCACGAAGCTGCAAAGATTTGTCTATATCAGTGATTTTACAAGTCGATTGCGAACAAACTAAACTTTCAAAGACTCGGTATCTAAAGAAACACGGTCGGTTAATTCAGTTCGGGCGTACACGATATTCGGTCGGGCGTATGCAAATTCCGTTTGCCGTGGATGGTGTTTCAGGGAGGCGGGCGGTTTGATGGAGCTACGTGACCAATTGTCATGTTAATCCGGCTCTAGCCCATCCGCTTTATGAGATGCATTCGTTAACGCCGGGCCAGGAGCGATCGCGGTCCGAGGAGATTACCCCGAGGCATTCCGCTGTGTACACAGGTCTCAGTTCATCTATATGTAGACGGAGGAGCTGATTGAGTTATCTGTCAAAGTGCAGTTTAAATAGTTGAGATTACAAAGGAAAATTGATAGAAGATACTTTTTATTGCATGCTTGTAGTAGGATATGTTTCTTGGAAAATTTCATTTTAAATCCACGTGTATGAAGTCGCAATATTTAGTTGAAAATAAAAAGAAGAAGACGCTTTTTCTTCTTATTTCGAATTAGATGATGCATGTGTGTGCGTCCTAGGTTATTGCCCGGATATTTAGTATACGTGAAAAACTTGAGAAACTTTATATAAGGCTATTTATTGGCACAGTCGTCAATATTCTACGAGTAACTCTATGCCTTTAGTACTCTAAGCTACTTGTTTAAAGAAATTACAATTAATAGTTGTACTAGTTTATGACGAAGGACATTAAGGAACAAGTGAGAAATAGTTGACTTAATCATACGTGTCAGCTTAGGTTGAGGGGAAGGGGCTTTGTGGCGGTGCAAATTTATTCATTGGCTGACCGCTTTTCGTGCAATAGAATGGAGCGTTCGCTTATGTAGTTACCATCGAAAGATTTAGTTTTAGCTCACCCGATGTTAGGGGCGATGGATTCTTAGATGGCAAACTCATTAGATCAGTTAAAATTTATTAACGCTTTCATTCATGTACCTATGAAATACACACATGTTTTGTTTGCATGGGTTTAGAAATAAATTTTGTTGAAAACTGAGTTCACTCTACATTTCTGCACAGGTTTTGATACGTTTAAGGGGCCAAAATGCATTAAAAATGACATGATTTAGCAAATGTCAATAAGAATTCTGTAATAGTGTCTGTTTACTCATGTAACCCGTAAATGATTTTAAAGCAGCCTGATTTCATCGCGGCTCAGTTAAAATTGTCAGTAACTATTCCGTTGTTGCTGAACTGTCGTCACAGTACACACACACGCGTAAAACATCACTGTAAAGTCGTAGCCCGT